AATTGAGTAGCCATTTCATCTAAAGGATCCAGAATGAATATACAAATTTTGTTTTTTTCTCCTATTAATATGTCTATTGTCAATTAATTTTTAGACCTCCAAACACTGGACCCAAGTTGAGGGAGGAAAAAATGTTTCTTCCCATAGGGGAGAAGATACTTATTTTGGTACTCATCACTAGGTTCATGACTGAGGCACCTATAATAAACACATATTAACAAGTGACAAGCTCACAAACTTAAGTTTTACATGACACAGGAGCCTTCTGAAATGAAGACTCAAAGAAATGGGGAAACTTGTGTATTTTTATGCTTCAAGAGTGGACAGTTGTACAGAATTATGATTGGACAAAGGGGGTATGATCTAATGGTAATAAACTAGGGAGAACTTAGCAAGACTTGTTTGTTCAGGTTCTTCTCTGTGTCCCTGTGTCTTCAGAGATGAAGATATTGCATTCTTCTGGGAATAGGAAGGGCACCTCTGGAATGAGGGGCTATGGCCTCCTTCAAGAAAAAGTCACTTAGATTTTATGGCGTGTTTCGGGGAGAAGGGCAGGGGGAGGATGAAAGTGACCCTGCTTCTCCTGTTTTCTCAAATGCCAAGGTGCCATATTTGGGGGTAGCATGTCCTGAACCTCATCACTCCTAACAAAACAAGACTGTACTGCAGGGAATGGGATAGAAGAACCAAGAAATCGAATAAGGTTTGTGATGCCCAGATACTAATAACAGCAGAAAACTACCACCATTTCTAGACTGGAGGGGAAAAAGGACCTCAAGGCACATGACTGATGCCCCACGAGGAGCCCCTCAAGCAAGAGATGGAGTCCCAGGGGAGATGTAGCAGTGGTCTGCTAGGCAGTTCAAGGCAGAAAGCAATGTGGGAAAACTCTCCCTTCTTTATTCTGCCAGGGTTCTCTATTGGCCAAGGTTCACCCAAAGCCAGCTGGCCCAGGAATGTGGAAAATATAGATTTAGGAGATGGCCCCAGTGAGTCATAGCAGGGCAGAAGTATGGAATTGCTCTAACTGCAAACTGGCCAACGACTGGCACAATAAAGGATAGACGTTATTATGTTAGAGTTGGCAAATATTAGCAATAGAGAAGTTATAGACTGTTATAAGAAGAGAACTTATAGAAGTTATAAGACTAACTATAGACTGTTAGTCTTATAGATGTTTGTATAAATAGAACATGAATCTGTAGGGTCAGCTTTATGGACACATGGCCTGTGTAGCTGCACAGGGCTCCATACTTGGTTTCATGCTCTGCTGTCACTATCTGGAAAGTTTTTAATTTTTTTTCTTTTTTGAGACAGGGTCTCACTGTGTTGCCCAGGCTTATATTGAATGTCTAGGTTTAAGCGATCCTCCTGCTTAAGCCCCCCAAAGTGCTGAGATTACAGGTGTGAGACACCATGCCTGGCCAAAAGCTCACAAACTTCCTTAAGTTTTATATGAACAGGAGCCTTCAGAAATGAAGACCCAAAAAAAATGGGGTAACTTTTAAATTTTTGAACAAAGGGCGGTGTGAGTTTTTATTTTGAACTGGAGCCCATAAATTATGTAGCCCATCCAGAGGATTAATAATCTACAACTTAGAGTTGTGAAATGCAGAGAATGTGGCTCTGCTGTCCTCTTTCCTGGATAGAACTAGGACACTGGGGACTTGGTGACCCTGAAGTTGACTTCAAGGGCTGAACAACATTGTCAGCCAGGATGCAGAGGCAAGAGCACATGCGTAGAAAGGGAAAAAGGAAAGGACTAAAAGAGAAGGGGCTCCTAGGCACCCATAGAAGGACATCTCTGTGTGGACTGAGATGAAACCCAATAGCTGTGAGTAAATATTCTGTTCCATGTCCTGGATTCCCAAGTATGTAAGATCTCCCACTAGGAAGGCAGTCTTTTTTGATAAATGATAATCCCCTTCCTTTCTAGACACTGCCACGAATATTAAGTAGAATTATGATAATTATTTCATGGAAGAGAAGAGAAGATCCATGGAAATTGTTTATGTAGACATCTAGCCTCAAGTTTTCTGTGAAAGCAGTTTGGTATAAGGATTTTAAAAGCTAGCTGTAATAAAGATTATAATTTTCTTATGCAGAACTCTCAGTATACAGTATTTCCTCACTGTCCACAGAGGATTAGTTCCAGGACTTCTCTCAGTACCAAAATCTGTGATTCAGTTCCTTACACAAATGACATTGTATTTACATATAACCTATGCACATCCTTCTGTATATTTTTTTCCCATTTATTTATTTTATTGCATTTTAGGTTTTGGGGTACATGTGAAGAACATGCAAGATTGTTGCATAGGTACACACGTGGCAGTGTGATTTGCTGCCTTCCTCCCCATCACCTACCTTCTGTATATTTTAAATCATCTCTAGATTACTTATAACACCTCATGCAATGTAAATGATTGTTACATTGGTTTTTAATTTTGCATTTTTTATTCATTGCTTTTTTTCCAAATATTTCTGATACCCAGTTGGTTGAATCTGCGGATGCAGAACCCACAGATATGGAGGGACTACTGCATTTGATTTTGGAATTTCCTATGCTACTAAGTTCTTCTCATTCCTGTTCTACATATTGCTCAACAGTTGTGGGTCATAAAAGTTTCTAAATTCCTAGGCCTATAACCAACTTCAATACCATCTGTCCTTAAAGTTGGCCAAAGGCAGTGGGTACCTGGTGGCAGGAACAGCCTTTGCAAAGCCAGTGGGCTCCAGCTTCAGACCAGAGGCCTGACTCTTGAACTTTTATCTTTTTTTACTAACATCCTAGTAGCAATGTTTATTTTGAAGGTAGTAAATGTCAGAATTCTATAAAGTCTACCTTTTAATATATATTGAGGCCAGATCCAGTGGCTCACACCTGTAATCCCTACACTTTGGGAGGCTGAGGTGGGAGGATCACTTTAGGCCAGGAGTTCAAGGCCTACCTGGGCAACATAGGGAGAGTCTATCTCTATTAAAAAAAAAAAAAATGAGCTGGGCATGGTGATGCACACACCTGTAGTCCCAGCTACTCCTGAGGCTGCAGTAAGAACATCACTTGAGCCCAGGAGGTCAAGACTGCAGTGAGCCATGTCCACATCACTATACTCCTACCTGGGTAACAGAGTGAGACTCTGACTCAGTGTGTGTGTGTGTGTGTATGTGTGTGTGTGTGTGTGTGTGTGTAATGAGGTTTTTACTTAACAAATCTGTTTAATGTTTGTAATTGACTAGGCATTGCTTTACAAATATTGGTACATTTAATTTTCATAAGAACTCTGAGGAGATACCATTTCATTTTACAGATGAGGAAACTGAGATATAAAGTGAGGCATAAAGTGAACATGGAATGAACCTGAAATGCTTATGATAACTTTTTATAAATTCTGCTAGTCTTAAACTGATTTCCCTTTTACTAAGGGTAATTACAAGGAGAAAGAAACAAGGAAAATTTCTGTATCTTTCACTTAAATTCTATTTTCACTTAAATTCTAAAAGCTCCTCAGAATACTCCACATGAGCTGCTCATCCAAACTGTCATATTAGTCACACTCTATGCTTCATGCCTACCATTCTTTAATGCATTGTATTTGAATTCTCCAGGTCCTTCTTTAAACACACAGAAAGCAAGAGTAATGGAAGGTATCCGCCCTTGATTTGGAATTTCCTACCCTACTAAGGGAAAAACAGAAGTAAAAAGCCAAACAGTGTGTTTGTATACAGGTAGGAACACTTTACCCCTCAAAGTGTAAGAACAGTGGCAGGAAAGATTCCTTGATGGGTGATCCTTGCACTGAATCTTGAAGGGGAAATATATAGTTCACCAGGAAGAGAAGCAAAGAGTGTGACTAATATGACAGTTTGGATGAGCAGCTCATGTGGAGTATTCTGAGGAGCTTTCAGAAAATAGAATTTAAGTGAAAGAGCCTCAGGTAATCCTACCACCTCAGCCTCCCAAAGTGCTGGGATTACAGGCATGAGCCACGGTGCCCAGCTGGGAAGCCAATTAAACTTCTATTGGACAGAATGTGGATGTCTATAGACCATTATTTTGGTTGCTATCGCTTATCTGTAATTTACAGAGCTGTAAAATAACTCCCATAGAATTAGAGTCAGATAATTTGGAAGGGTGATTTCTGTTCAGTTTTCCAACAAAACACAACTTTTACCCTACAGTGGCAGTAAGAGGAAACTAGCCTAATTTTCAGATGCCACATCAGACAGAGTCACAGATACCACACTAGAGTTTGGACTTCTGTTTTAGTGTTTGAGCAAAAGAAGTTCAAGAAAGGTCAAACTGAGGAGTGCGAGGATCCCCTTTCATTGGAGAGGCATGGCCTGGCAAGCAGCTGGAAGTTTGATTGGAATAGGTCATGAATGGATTCAGAGGCATAATGCAGTAGGTCAGTCAAGAAAGTCTGAGGGCCAGAGCCATGGTAACGGCAAGCGGGAGGGTGGCTGACAAAACACAGTTAAGCAGACCTAGTGAATGCGGATGTGAGGGATGAAGTAGAAAGAAAGTTGTCTCTGATGGTTTCTAGGTTTCTGGCAGGCGCACGGTGGCGCATCCACCAATGTGAAAGAAGCAAGCTTGTGAGGAGCGATGAGCTGTTTTGCCCATCTGAGTGTGAGGTACCTGTGGAATACCCGGGTAAATACATCAGGAAGGCAGTTAGACAGAGGCTTCAAGGAGACTTGCTGTGGAGTTAGAAGCCACTGGCTGTCAGTGGTCTTTGCGAGCAAGCAAGGCGTGAGGAGCAGCAGCTGGGAGAATGAGCCCTGAACCGTTCCGCGAGGCTCAGCCTAGTGGAAGGGACAACGGAGGCCTGTGATGTGATCAGCCCCGCTACAGTCCCTCGCAATGAAACCGGTCTTGGACACTGCCACCCTCAGGGCGCCGCGAGAGTCCCTACAGAAAGACGCTAGCACGGAACTCGCGACTCTCTAGCCCGTTGGATCCCGAAGCGCCAGTCCGGGCCCCAGCCACTCGGCCCACTTCCGCTTACGCGCCCCACTTCCGCTTCCGGCCCTAGGCTGTGGTGGCTAGCGGTGTGGGGTGGGTTAGAAGGCAGTAGGTGCTGGAGGCGGAGGCGGGTGCCGTCTTTGCGCGGCCGTGGGATCCTGCGAGCTGGTGCGGAGGAGCGCCGGCGGGCCAGCCCCGGGGCACATGCGACGACCACCACCCCTGGGCCCCAGGAGGGCCCCGGGTCCTGAAGGCAATGTGAGAAGCCTGCGGAAACGGCAGGCGCCAGGGCCAGGCGCAGCGAGACGCTGCGGCCCTGAGGCCGGGGGGCGCAGGGAAAATAGGCAAAAGAGGAGAATGGTGGCCCAGGCCACCCCTGGGAAAGACAAGGTGGAAAGAGACAAGTCGGTTGCGGCATCAGGTGCTGAAAAGGCCGCAAGGCGTCGAGTGGAGGGGCCCAGGGGCCAGGTGAGCCCGTCAGACCGGCGAGGCGTACAAGCAGCAAAGGAGGCTGACCTCCGCTTGCAAACGGAAAGACACAGTAAGAAAGCACCCACGGTCACTTACCTTTAGCCTTTGCACTCAGCGTGCTCCATCTTTGTTTTGCCGCCAGTCTTTAACTGGAATCTGCATGTTTATTTTTGATGCACATGGTTGACCAGGAGATGGGAAAAATGGATTTTCTTAAAAGGGTGTTCCCCATTAGAAGTCCTTGGTCAGAATTACGATAGGAGGAATTCTTGTGGTACATTTTGGCTAGTATGAGATGACGATGCTGTAAGGGTTATTCAGTTGCCTTAAAATTTATAAAGGTTTATATGTAATTCCTTAACAGAAATTAAGGTTTTAGTTTAAAAACAAACTTGTATTTACATACAGCTCTGAAGGGAAATAAAAATGATAGCCTCACAGTTTTTAATTTCAGTGGTATTGCATTTTCCTCCTCAATATAAAATCTTTTCTGGTATGTTTTATTGTTTTGATCAGCCAAGGAAAAAAGAAAAGTTACTGAAGCCTCAAGTGATGATCCTGAGCCAGGGATTGACCTGGTAAGAAAGGAATCATTAACCAGTTCGGAATCTTTCCAAACAGTGGAATGCTTGCAGTCTTTGGGTAAGGAAGGTATAGTGGAAGGCATTAAAAGAAGAATTCGAAATAAAAAACTTAAAAGCTTAGAAAACCCACCTCTCAAAATAACAGAAAATGAGGCTACACAAAATATTAATGTTGAATTCCAAGATGAACTGTACAAGAATACTCCAAAATATTCTTGTAACATCTTGTCACCTGAAGTAGAAAATAATTCCATTTTGAAATTACATGATTGCAATTGTTTCCCCCATTCCAAGGGTTGTAATGATGAAAACAACCTGCCATATAAGCCTGATGGTGGATATATGCATGTAGCAGAAAATTCCTCAAAGCTAAAGAAAGAAAACCTTAGGAGTCTTGCAGAGAAGAGTGACACAAATAGTATTTCTCGGCTTTTACAAACCCAAGAAAGTGTAATGGGAGTAAATAAGTTACTACTAGAAGAGAGTGATTTATGCCAAAGTAAAACCAATGACTTGCTTTCCTGCCTTCAACGTGAAAAAAATAAATACTCAATAGAGGAGAGCAGTGTTGGGCGAAAATCCAGGAAAAGAATGAAGTCTGAAAAAGCAGGTGAAACAGTTACTGAGATGAACTTTTCTGAGTATAACAAGTCTGAGTTGATGTTACAAGAAAACAAAATGATTGCTGATGGTAAAGAAGCAGAGACTAAAGGTCCTTTAAATGTTTTGAGAAAAGTAAGCCATAATACAGTCTCTCTGATGGATCATTTATTAAGTTTCCCAGAAACGGTAGGAAAAGAAACAAGTCCTGAATATCATGTAAATGCTGTGTGTCAGAAAACCATTGAACCACTTTTGAAAGAAGAAACAGAGAATGCTTCAGAGCCCTTAGGATATGAAAGCATGGCACAGACAGAGGATTTTAAATCGATGAAAAGCTCCATAGGGAAATCACCTAATGAGTACCATATTGAAAAGAGATCTTCACGGGAATCTGAAGAATTGAAGTTAAGCTGTCAGAGAACAATACCTATGACTGGTAAAAGAACTTGGCCTTATTATTCATGTGCTAGAATATCTGCTTGGTGTTGGAAAAAGGCTTCCTTGCCAGAATCAAGTTACTTTCTTCCTGGGTCTCAGGAAAGTTGTAGGCAAGGTGATGTTCTTAAACACCAAACAAACCAGACCCACTTAACTGACTCCAAATTATTATTACAAAGTTCCTTAACAGAAACAAACACTGAATCTTCAAGTAAAGAAAAACTAGATTCTAATTCAAATTGTTTGTCTTCAGTTTCTGCAATAGAACCTACTTTAATGATTATGAAGGAACCTATAATCAAGGATGATAAAAAGATAAAATCAGAGGAACTGAGCAGAAGTGGGTCAGAGGTAATTTCTAACACTACTGAAGATACTCAATTAACCAGTGAGACTCAAATCTTAACAGGAAATAAAAAAAAAGATAGAGGAAATTTCACAAAACAAAATTTGACAGCGACTTCCAAAGATGATCAGGAAGCAAATAACTCTACAGGCAAAACTGTTCATCGAAAAGCATGCATTGCTAAACAAACATTTGTAGTTCCAGACTTGGTTAAAATATTGAACACAGGAAGGCTAACTAATTTTAAAATTCCTTTACTTAAGAATAAAACAGAAAAAAGAAAAGAAATAAATGCCAAGTCATCAGAGAGAGAACCTTACAGTCCTCTAGAACTTCTGGACAATATATCTGGAGCGGAGGTAAGACAGAATAGGAGTAAAGAAAATATCTCCATGACAACATTAGGACCTCAAACTTTGAGCATACGAAATAGCGTAGCTCCAGCGCAAGCTAGTTCTGATTCATTCCACAATAAGAATTCCTGTAGTATTTTTCCAAGGTTTACAAAGCAAGGTAACAATAACAAACCATCTAATCACATCTCTGAACGAGGCAATATTGTGTCTAATAAAGAAGTTGCTTCTCTCACAGTTGAAAATAATGCTTTTTCTTGTGATCCTGGGTATGTAGAGAAAAATTCTTCCTTCAGCTGTAATGAGCAAGAAACACTCCAACCAGTTTCCAGTGAAGTTAGTGGTAGAAAAATAACTAAGAATTTTTCAGAAATCAAAGTAGGGTGTCCAGATATTCTTAAAGCATATGAAGATGATGTCCTCTTAATTGATGTAATTCAAGATGACCCAGACCTCTTTGGAGTCTCCAATGAAGGAGAGCTCTCATTTACTTCAGAGGTCCCTAGGATAAGCCAGGAGCCCGGTGTTGCTGGAGAGCACCAATCAACAGACTTCAAGTACGTGGAAACTCCAATAAAAAAAGAACCAAGTGATGACTTGAGGTATGCATGTTCAAGTATGCCTTTTAGTGTAGATTGGGGTTAGAAAAGCAGTCTCTACTCGTAGGTTTCACTAATGTATTCAGTGATCATTGAAGCTCCATTATTTTTTTACTCAGTTATTTATTAAATGTATTTATTACCTGGAAATGTCATTATGCTAAAACTTAGAGTCAAAATAATGAATTATATATATCTTGGAAGATAGAAAAGATTAGCTGTTCAGAATTTAAAATTATGGTTCATAAAAGGGCTTTTTGAATGATAGAGATTGCTTCTTTCAAAAGTCAATTAAGTTTATTTTCAAATGCTCTTTAATTATTATAAATAGGCAGATAAACTTTTATTTCAGCCAAGCTACTTATTAAGATCAGTACGACCTATTTTAATCTATTTTCTATGGCTTCCTTGTTTGATTAATAGTTCATTTTTCAGGGGACAGAGAAGCCTTGGAAATTTTTATTTGAAGTAATTAGGGCTTGAAAGTAGAATCAAAAGTTAAACTAATTTTCAGAGATAAACAGCATAAAATTTTTTATGGTTTTACTTTTAAGGCAATGGTTTTAAATGAGGATTTTTTTCCCCAAATAGAACTGTTTGCCCAATGCAACTTTAAACGGGGCCAAGTAGTAAACTTCATGCTCAGGAACTTAATCTATTCTGGTTGGCCCCAATTTGATTTAATATTATGTCATATTTTACTTAACTTTTGTAATTCTTCAAGCTGTTATTTATATGTTATACTACTTGAATATCATAATATTTTGTGAACAGACTCAAAAAAATGAAAACACTTTTCATTAGGATTCAGTGGTGCATGACTTAAGTTTCTCTGGCATTTATTTTTAATTAACCTTTGTGGCATCGTAACTCTTCTTGATGCTCTTATTGTTGTAAGAACTTATAATTTATCACCAGATAGAATGCTTTCTATGTGCCAAATGGAGAACCAAGAGTTTTATTGATTTTTTTTTAACCACGTAATAAGGTAGCATGGTAATCTGCCTGTTTTGAAGATAGAAAAAAATGAAGATAAGGTTGTTACTTGCCCAAGATCACACTCCTACTAACAGAATCTGGATTTGAACCAAGGCCTATCTTACTCTAAACCTGTGGTTAAGAGGTTCGTCTTTGTAGTCTGACCTTGGTTTTTGAATCTTCTTGTTACCACCTAATAACTATGTGACCTTTTAGGCAAATTATTTCATCTTTCTGTTAAAAGGGGAAGTACTTGCCTCAGGGTTGTGAGGATTAAATCAAACAATGAACAGAAAAGGTTTTAGCATTTTTCACTGTTATACCACAATTCCTTTGAGGAATACAAAAGAAAATTAGAGTAAATTCTGCATTCAAGAGCAAACATCTCTGTGGACTGACAAGAGGTTGACAGTGAGCTAAGCCAAAGGCAAAAAGAGATAAATGTTATGAATTAAAGTGTAGGACATTTGTTCTTCATTCTTTTTTTAAAGAATAATGGCTGATTTTGAAAAATGATACATGTTCATTAAAGTAAAAAGCAATGTTGGGGTGGGGGAGATTCCACCACCCCAAATAGCAAATTAATTGCTATTTGTATGCATCATTCCAGACATTTATCTATACATATAAGTGGATATAATATTAGATAAATTGGATCATGCCATTTTTAATAAAAACACTAAAGATAATTTTATTTAGACTTAACCAGGAGAGGCAGAGAAATGAAAGTGGAATGAAACGAATTGCTGAATTACTATACTTCTGTTTTTTATTATTATTATACCTTAAGTTCTGGAGTACATATGCAGAACATGCAGGTTTGTTACACAGGTGTACACGTGCCATGGTAGCTTGCTGCATCCATCACCCCGTCATCTACATTAGGTATTTCTCCTAATGCTATCCCTCCTCTAGCCCCCCACTGCCTGCTAGTCCTCTCCTGGTCCCCCATACCCCAACAGGCCCCAGTGTATGATGTTTCCCTCCCTATGTCCATGTGTTCTCATTGTTCAACACCCACTTATGAGTGAGAACATGCAGTGTTTGGTTTTCTGTTCTTTGCCAGTTTGCCGAGAATGATGGTTTCCAGCTTTATCCATGTCCCTGCAAAAGACATGAACTCATCCTTTTTTATGGCTGCATAGTATTCCATGGTATATATGTGCCACATTTTCTTTATCCAGTCTATCATTGATGGGCATTTCGGTTGGTTCCAAGTCTTTGCTATTGTGAACAGCGCTACAATAAACATATGTGTGCATGTGTCTTTATAAAATAATAATTTATAATCCTTTGGGTATATACCCAGTAATAGGACTGCTGGGTCAAATGATATTTCTGGTTCTAGATCCTTGAGGAATTGCCACACTGTCTTCCACAATGGTTGAACTAATTTACACTCCCAACAGTGTAAAAGCATTCTTATTTCTTCATATCCTCTCTAGCATCGTTTTTTTCCTCACTTTTTAAATGATCACCATTCTAACTGACATGAGATGGTATCTCTATGTGGTTTTGATTTTCATTTCTCTAATGACCAGTAATGATGAGCTTTTTTTCATATGTTTTTTGGCTGCATAAATGTCTCCTTTTGAGAATTGTCTGTTCATATCCTTTGCCCACTTTTTGTGGGGTTGTTTTTTTCTTGTAAATTTGTTTAAGTTCTTTGTAGATTCTGGATATCAGCCCTTTGTCAGGTGGGTAGATTGCAAACATTTTTTCCCATTGTGTTGGTTGCCAGTTCACTCATGATAGTTTCTTTTGCTGTGCAGAAGCTCTTTAGTCTAATTGGATCCCATTTGTCTATTTTGGCTTTTGTTGCCATTGCTTTTGGTGCTTTAGTCATGAAGTCCTTGTTTATGCCTATGTCCTGAATAGTATTGCCTAGGTTTACTTCTAGGGTTTTTATGGTTTTAGGTATTATGTGTAAATCTTTAATCCATCTGGAGTTAATTTTTATATAAGGTATAAGGAAGGGATCCAGTTTCAGCTTTCTGTATATGGCTAGCCAAGCCAATTTTCCCAACACCATTTATTAAATAGGTAATCCTTTCCCCATTGCTTTTGTCAGGTTTGTCAAAGATCAGATGGCTGTAGATATGTGGCATGATTTCTGAGGCCTCTGTTCTGTTCCATTGATCTATATCACTGTTTTGGTACCAGTACCATGCTGCTTTGATTACTGTAGCCTTGTAGTGTAGTTTGTAGTCAGGTAGCAAGATGCCTCCAGCTTTCTTTGTTTGTTTCCTTAGGATTGTCTTGACTATGCAGGCTCTTTTTTGGTTCCATATGAAATTTAAGGTGGTTTTTTCCAATTCTGTGAGGGAAATCAGTGGTAGCTTGATGGGGATAGCATTGAATCTATAAATTACTTTGGAAACTATGGTCATTTTCATGAAATTGATTCTTCCTAACCATGAGCACGGAATGTTTTTCCATCTGTTTGTGTCCTCTCTTATTTCCTTGAGCAGTGGTTTGTAGTTCTCCTTGAAGAGGTCCTTCACATCCCTTGTTAGTTGTGTTCCTAGGTATTTTGTTCTCTTTGTAGCAATTGTGAATGGGAGTTCCCTCATGATTTGGCTCTCTGTTTGTCTGATATTGGTGTATAGGCATACTTGTGATTTTTGCACATTTATTTTGTATCTTGAGACTTTGCTGAATTTGCTTCCCAGCTTAAGGAGATTTTGGGCCGAGATGGTGAGGTCTTCTCAATATACAATCATGTCTTCTGCAAATAGAGACAATTTATACTTCTTTACCACAAGAAATTAGTTTCTCAAAGTTCTCTCTCAAGTTAGTAAGGAAAATTACTTAAAAGTTTGAGTTTCATCTTCACTTTTAAAAATTGTTTTCCAACTTTAGACAGCAGTATTTGCTTTCCTAATATGAAAGATGAACATATTTGTACACACGTTTTCTCCTAATCTTGCCTACCCCACATTTTTGTTAAAAGCTTACTTTATATTACTAAGCCTTGTGCCATTAACATTCTCTTGAATGACCTGGACTCCAAAGATTCCTATTATTAGTTCCCTATTTAAATTGATTCCGTCCCTACAACCAGTCCTTTTTACTTTCCTCTAATCTTGACAATTTTATTTTTTTGAGAGGGAGTCTCGCTGTGTCACCCTGGCTGGAAGTGGTGGATCTTGGCTCACTGCAGCCTACGCCTCCTGAGCTCAAGCAGTTCTTCTGTTTCAGCCTCCCAAGTAATAGGTATTACAGGCATGTGCCACTATGTCTGGCTAATTTTTTTGTATTTTTAGTAGATGGCGTTTCACCTTGTTGGCGAGGCTGCTCTCCTCCTGATCTCAAGTGATCCACCTGCCTTGACCTCCCAACGTGCCAGGATTACAGGTGTGAGCCACCATGCCTGGCCTAATCTTGACTATTTTGATTCATTGCTTAGATGGCTAGATTTCACAGCAAATAGATTTTTTAGGGAACATAATTACTGTGTTCCCTAAAATCTTGGGTGCATGAGAATGATTTGTCTAAGGGCAGGTTGTCTGTGTGTAAAATTCTTAGTTTACCTATTTCCCCCTCACAACTATGTAGACGTTGTTCTCCTGCTTTCTGGCATTATGTATTAGAGTAAAAAACCTTGAGGCCAAACTAATACTCCCATAGCTCCGCTGTAAACTGTCTTTATTTTTTCTTCTTGTTTCCACCTTGGGAGTGGTAATTATATATCAGTTTTTCCTGAGATAAGGTTAGCCATTTTGGTTTGTGGTAGCAAGTGTTTATTTCAGATAACATTTTTGTTATTAACTTTGAACTTCATTTTTCATCACTTCAGAAGCACCAGTTATGCTGTTATTGGCTCTTCTTTGCCTTTCATCTACTTCTAAAGTTTCTGTTTTTAAACAAAATTGAACATTTTCTCAGTATGATTTTAATAGTTTTATATTTGTTCTGCACTGGAAATATAGTTTTGTAGTCATCCACAGTGCTAGGATAAACCTTAACAGGGAAAAATGAAGACCTGATAACCAGAGGATCTATCAGTAGTTGCACAGAAGGTT